ATACAAAAACCCAAAACCATTCTAACACTTGCCTACTGAAATCAAATATATACAGACGAAAACATTCCATCCTTAGTATATGCCAGTGTTTCTTAATAAGATCTTATATTCAAATTTACCAGAAATAAATTATCTTTACCTCAGGACAACCAAATATGCACACCATCACCAAAATAAAATTTCTATTCTCTCTCACTTAAGTACCTTCCCAGGTACAAAGGCCTGCCTCAGAAGACCTGGCTTTAATAATGTATCCATAAAGGGACTAAAGTTTTCATTTAAACAAACAAACAATGCCAAGTCTTACTTTAGAAAACAAAAACATTAGTTACATACTTCTGTCATTTCCTAGCTGTTCAACTCCAACATTCTAAAATAAGCATCCTAGTTCCAGAAAGTATAACTTATGGCCCAAATCAATCAATCCATCAATCAATTGATCTATTTATCTATCACCTTCAAAGTTACAAAGGGCTAGAGATATAGCTCAGTGGCATAAGTGCCTGCCTGGCAAGCACAAGGTCCTGAGTTTGATCCCTGGTACCACATGCCGTGCTGGCCACCAAAACTGGGCAGGTCAGTGCTGGGGAGGCTGAGACAGGAGGATCACTATGAGTCCAAGCTGTGTAGCGAGACCCTGTACTAACTAACTAACTAACTAACTAACTAAATGATTTTGTGCTCTCAAGGGGAGATAGCTCATCAGCATAAGCACCTGTCTGGCAAGCACAAGGACCCAAGTTTGATCCCCAGTACAAGAAAAAAAAAAAATTATGCCCTAATACATGAAGTAATAGTCAATAACACTATAATGCAACGTACTTTGTAATTCAATCAAATTTAATAACGGTATATAGCATGGGACTACACAAACTTTAACCATTAAGTTAAATTAACCTTGTATTATGTCTCTCTTCTCAACTTTATGTTCCCTGGTCAGTAACTACAAACAATACAAAAGAGAAAGACACACACAAACTAGCAGTATAGTGCTGAGTGGCTGGGCACTTGTCTAACATTAAGGAACCCCTCACCATACAAAAAGAAAAAAAAGGAATACAATGAGAGAGAGAGAGAGAGAGAGAGAGAGAGAGAGAGAGAGAGAGAAAGAGAAAGAGAGAGAAGCAACTATTAAAAATGACCATAGCTGGGTGTGGTACTGTATCACCTGCCTGCAATCACAGTACTTGGGATGCTGAGGCAGAAGGATCACTAGTTCAAGGTCAGCCTGAGCTGTAACTTGATTTCAAAGCAAGCTTGAACTGCAGTTAAGGTCCTGCCTCAAAAAGACCAAAAAAAAAGAAAGAAAAAGAATAAAAAGTGACCACAACTCTTTAAGGACAATGGAAAAAAAAATTTTTAAGAGCCTTTTAGTACTTCATTTAATGGAAGTTCTTCACCCTTCCTTTATCTTAGTCTTAACGGTCCTCATATAAGACCTCACTTAATCAACAAAAAAGGGTGTGATATGATTACTCACTACACAGAGATATTAAGAGTTTCAGCCAATCACAGTAACACACGTCTATAATCCCACCTACTTGAGAGGTTGAGGCAGGAGGATTGTAAATTCCAGGCCAGGTTGGTCAATTTAAGATTCTGTCTCAACACAGAAATACATGGGGCTATAACTCAGTGATAGAGTGCTTACCTCATATTCCTGAGGCCCTTCATTCAATCCCTAGTAGCTCCCCCCACACACAGAAGTTTACTAGACAGACTAACATCTAAATAAGCCACCAACATATTGTCTCTTATCATAGGACTGTGGGATGATGAGGCAGGAGAATCCCAAGTTCAAGTCCAGCCTAGGCAACTCAAAGACACTCTCAAAAGTTAAAAATTAAGGGAGTGATGATATAGCTCAGTGGCATTGCATTTGCCTGGCAAGTGCAAGGTCAGAGTTTGATTCCCAGTAATAAATTAGCTTGGGGATACAGTTCAGTGTGAAGGATCTGGGTTCAATCCTTAGTCCCACACACAAAAAAAGTTGTTATAGAAGATATTACACTTGAGATATAATTTTGTCATGAAATCACAGAAAAGACATTACCCTAAACTTCAAAACTGTCACTCAAAATTCTGAGAAAGTACCCCAAAATACTTCCAAATTTTTCAAAAGCACATTTGCCAAAAGAAAAAATACGCTAAATAAGGAAAAGGTTAATGTGTGCAACCAACAGCAACCATTATTAAAATAAAAATCTTCCCAGGACAAGTTAATCCTTGCTTGGGTCTTTTTACCATATTCCATCCTATCTTGTAAGTTTTGCCTGCTGAAAGACCTTTCCTCTATGGACTAGTTCCTAAGATCCCTCATATCTCCTTAACAGTCCAAAAATATTCAGCCTTGCCAGGTTTTAACACACACCTGTAATCCCAGCACTTGGGAGACTGAGGCAGGCAAATCACTGAAAGTTCAAAGCCAGCCTGGGCTACCGTAAGTGTAAGTTCAAGGCTAATCTGTACTACTACACAGTGAGACCCTATCTCAAAAAGAACAAAACAAAAAACTTGACACAAACATAAATTCCACATAACAATTGACTGAGGATGGAGTTTTGCAGTATCCTCTTTTTTTTTGTTCCCAAGAAAAGTTTAATTCAAATGTTAGAATATCAAAACAATTTCTAAAATTATATTTAAAAAATCCACCACTGATAAACTTCACTGTAAAAGACATAAAGAATTATAATTGCCACACATGGATACAGAACCAGTGGTAAATCAATGAAATGAGGCTTACCAAAACATATGTCTGCTAATATACACCAAATCTTTTTAATGGCTACATTAAAAAATGGGGTCTTTCTCAAAAAGAATGATCATTAGAAAATCATTTTTCCTCCACAAACTCAGACTAAAATGCAGAGCACAATAAAACCACCATAAATTCCTTAAATAATCTTCTAGGCCTTTCAGTTCAACTAATTTTACAGATCACATACAACTCCATGTCTTTCTTTACAGTCCACTCCAGCAACACAAGTTCAATTTTTTTGAAATGAATATATGGTTAGAATACTAATAAAGTTCTCTGTGACTAAGGAAAACAAAAATCAAACCTTAAACTCTAATAGGAAAACAATGAGAATAAAGCATATGCTCACACATTAAATTCTTCCAAATCATGACTAAAATTTCTTTCAAAAACATATAGCTCAGGAGGCCAGGGAGATGGCTCAGTAGAATAAGAGCTTGCCTGGCAAGCACAGGGCCTGAGTTCAATTCTTGGTTGGGGGGGGGGGAGAAAAGAAAAGAAAAAGCAATTTGCAAGGGGCTGGGGAGATGGTTCAACAGAATAAGCGCTTGCCTGGCAAGCGCAAAGGCCTGAGGTCAATCCCCAGTTCCAACAACAACAAAAAATATAGCTCATACATTCCTCTCAAAATACAAATATAAAACTTCATCAACCTCCTTAATTCTGTGCTTAATCAATCCTTCAACAATGCTGCAAACCTATCAAAGTGTTAATTTATTAATCAACAGTACTACTCCCCAGCTCAAAAATTACAAATGCCTGCATCGCATAATCCTAAAAAAAGTAACAGAACTATCTTTCTTCAAACTGTTTTGCTCCTAAACTTACATCCTAATGTGATTTATTCATCCTAATGTGATTTATTCAATTAATTACACTCTCAGTATTATAAAATTAGGAGTCCTTGTCTCATTGTAATCTAAAGTATCCTTTGATTTGCAATGGTTTCTATAAAAGTTAAAGCTATAATTCCATTTCAAACGTGATATTAAGGCTCTACTTGGCCAAAACCCAAATAAGATATTAATATTTTAATGCCTCATAGTAATATATAGTCCTTCTTTGGTATACAGAAAAGCCAACTGAAAAGTTTAGTAACACTAAATTCACAAATGAAAACAAAATATTTTACTTCAAAACTGGAGGAAAAAAATGAAAGAAAATACTAACCAATCTCTGGCTGTAACGAATTCTTTCTTCTTCGGGTTCCATCTCTCACTCTTCTGTTGAAATTACTATAAAGAAACCACTCCAGGACTGCCTTCCTCTTCCTCCTTAGGAACCAGATTTCAACACTAAAGAATAATGATATGAGAGATGAGAACTCATTCTCAAACTTATGCTTTCTTTCCACAGAAAGAAATACTATATTTAAGGTATAAATTAAAGGCTAAGGAATCAGTTTCCTCTTCATGGGTTTGGGACCTCTCTGCTCTTGGGCAAGTAGTTCCATGTCACGTTCAACATTAGTCACCACATACAACTGTCCGAGGCCTAAGCAAAAGGAGATGTTGGTTTCAGTTCCTTGTGGACAGGCCACACCACTTATTTCTGCCCACGGGATGGCAATTACCAAAGCTTCCCTTTACTGCTGCATTAGCCCAAACACACACACACACTCACACACACACTCCCCACACCTCAGGACTTTTATCTCTAGAGAACTGACCAGGTGAAGCACACACTAATCCAGATTCTGAACAAATTAGTTCTTATACCTACCAGTAATTAGAAACTAAGGGAAAGAAGGGCAGACTGTCTACTACACTATATTTAAAAAGGACAAGAAATCATGATCTTAAGATCTCAAAACGATTCCCCATACTCCCCCAGTAAAGCAATATACAACTGTCGCCACAGACCTACCCTCTACCCCAACACAATATATGCATAACTCTGAAACAAATCCGAGAGTTGCAAATCAGAGACAAAAATCAAGTCTAATCTCTTTGGGTAAAGCAATAAATGAAACAACTGGATCTGTGGAGAACAAAACACACCCTTTCCAAAAAAACATAAAGAACGGCTTGACGCGACAGTCAACCCGTAACAGCATGCAAGGGTTTTCATTTTTCTAAATATTCTTATGGATAATGGCTTCCACGGGGAATGCAAATTTTTCCTTTTGTAACTACAGTATGGGCACGTTAACAGCATCCTTTCAGAACTGCTAGGAGACCAGAGGACCCGGTGACATAGTTTGCCAAAGCAGTTCGTGGCAGTGTCTTCCCGGAGGAAGCCTTAGCTCGCGGCCGGGGACGGTATGTTTTGTACACCCCTGGTTGAGGGCAGCCTGCTCCGGACGAGAAAAACGGTAAACCCTGCCACCCGCCCCAAGAAAAGCGTCCCAATGGTTCACCCGTCGGAAAAAGAAATAAAAACTTTAAGTCTTTGATAACAGAGCGAACCAAACTTCCCAAGGCGGAGGGGGGAGGGGGAGTCTCACCGGGGATTCTGCTCTTGAGTTCTTGTCCAAGTGAGAAGTGAAAGATTCCAAAAACTGAGAGGAAAAATTAAATCCCAAACGTCGTCTTCGGATATTCCGTGGATCAACCAAGTATCGAGAGGGTCAGAGCGACCCGTAAAAGAGGAAACAGTTGCTGGATCCAACCTCCTCTTCTGGCTTTGGAGACCAGGCGTCGGAGGCGTCAAAAGAAGGCAGCACGACCCTCTGCGCCTGGCCCGGCCCGGCGGTCAACAGTCCGAAGCCTGGCCCAGCCGAGCCGCGGGGAGCGCCCTCCTCGCCGTACCCTGGGCCAGCAGCAGCCGGCCGCCTCGGCGCCCAGAAGCGGCAGCCGATCAGCTGAGACCGGCCGCGCCGAGGCTCCCAGCACCGCCCGGCCCCCCGGAACGCGGGCCCTGGCCCCGGGGGGCGGAGAGGGCGGGAGTGGCACGGCGCGCCGAGCTAGGGGCCCGGGCTACCCTCACGTCTCCCCTTCAGCCCGGGCTCAGTGCTGCGGGACGAGCCCCCAGCTACTCCCCAGTCGCAGACGAGGGAGTGGGCCCCCTGGCGTTGCCCCTCCTCCCAGAGAGCCCCCTGCCCAGGACAGACAGAGCAGCGACAGCCCCAGCCGCTGGGACGGTGCTCTGGGAGCTGCAGCCGTCGCCGCCGCTGCTGGGGAGGGGTGTTGTTTCCCTCACACAGGAGGAGCCGCCGAAGCAGCCGCCGCCATTTTGAACCCGTCAGACTCTCACATACACACTGCTCTCAGAGGAGCACTGCGCAGGCGCCGCCTCTCCACCCCTCCTCCGGTCAGCCTCTCCACCCTCACCACCTTCTAGTTTCCCTTTGCTTCTTACCGCTCTCCGGGTGCACGTGAACGCGCACGCGTCACTCCCCTCTAACGCGGACACAGAGCCGGCGCGCGCACGCGCGGATGCGTCGGCCTCGAATCGCCCGCGCCCCAAGACGCCGACACGGCTCCCCGCCCCCTCTCGCGTCAGCCAGCCCGCCCTCCCGTCGGCCTCCCGCCCCCGCTCCCCGCCGGCCTTCTTCCAGAACTCCGGCCCAGCCGGCTTCCCGCGCCTGCGCGCAGAGCGCCATCCTCATCTGCGCGCGCCCTCCCCCACACACCCTCCCTCGAACGCACACACTCCGCCTCAGTGACCCCGCCCCTCGCCGGCCAGCTGCGCCGGCCACCCTCCCCCACCTCTCCTAGGAGGCTGGTGACACCCCCCGACCCCCCACCAAGCACCACATCTCCCCTAGCTCTGGGGAACGGCTCCCCCTTTCCCCTTCAGCCGTTCTGCCCCAGGCATCCCGTCATAGTCACATAACCTGAGGGCCGGGTGGCCTGGGCCAGGGCAGCCGTCACCCGCCACAAAGCGTAGTACCCCAGGGTCAGGCTGCTGCGCCGGGGCGACCTGACCTCTACGTCCCACTCAGGGCTGCCCACGAGGAGGGGACACGGGCAGCCGGTGCCTTCCAGCCTGCTGCCCACCCCTTGCGCTCCGGCCCATGGGCCAAGGCCGGCCTGCCCGCCATCCCTGGACAGGCCCCAGCGCCCCGCCGCCGAGCCCGTCCGCCTTGGGCGCGGGGGCTCCTCGATGCAGCAGCCCGGCCTCGCCTCACCCACTCCTCGCCGCTCCGAAGGGGCAGGAAACGGGAGTAGCATGTCTGTCCTGGGCTCGGCTCGCTCAGGAGAGCTTCAGGCGCTGGACACGGACGTCCACAGGTGCGGGGCGCGGGAGTGGTCTCCGCGACGACGGCCCGGGGGCAGCGGTGACTGGCGCGCCCACAGCGGGCCAAAGGCGCCCGGAGAGGTGGCCCAGGAAGCCCCCGCTCCTCGGCCACGCTCAGGTTTCCGCAGCGCCGGTGCCCCCGGCGGCCCGGGTGGGGCGTGACCCCGCCCCCGGCGAGTCGGGGCGCCCCCCACAGAGGGGTGCGCGGCCCGGCCCCAACCCCTGGGCCTACCAGCCGCCCAGGCCCGCAGCGGTCAAGGAGGCCCGGCCGGGAAGATGTCTCCTCTGGGTGCACGCAGCTTCGCGCGAGGGTCAGCGACGGGGCAGCGGCGGCCCGAGCTGCGCCGGCCCAGCCCGCAGACGGGCTCCCGCGGCTCGACAGCTGCTCGACGGGCAAGCAGGCTCCGGACGTCGACGGAGCTCGGCCAGCGGTATCCAAGCAGTGCCATGCAAGGAGCCCAGCTGTGATCAGAGCATTTTACAGCCAGTCGCCTGCTTTGGGGCCCGTTTAAATGATAAATCCCATAAAGGACAGTGGCTTGGGCATTATATATCCAAGTGCTTGAGGCTGGCACTTTTGGCTTCACTGCACTCTTCCTAAATGGTGTCACACAGGTCCTTTTCTCCCTATACTACACTGGTTTCCTACTCATCAAGCTCTTGATTCCTGGGAACTAGGAATGGAGGAGAGAACATGGTGAATCATAGAATGTGCATAAACAGCCTTCAACCCTTAGTAAGATGTGAATGAAAGACAATTGAAATAATATCTTCTGTTTCTACCAGAGTTTGAACTCTAGGGTAAAGGCGCTGCATCAGCTCAGGATATCATTTAGCACAAGGTTTTTCTATGTACAGACTTAGAGTTTGACATTTGCTGTTTTGTTTCACATCTTTAGGAGGCAAAGTGCTTTGTATCTTTTATATTCATTTTAAAGATAAACAGTTGAAGTAGAAGATTAAAGACTTTATTACATAGTTACTCCAACAGAGGAGTCCAGTGTTCTTCTATTGCTCACTGAAACGTACCACAAACAACAAACAACAAAATAGGTTCATTCCTATGGTCTCATCATCTTGAATTCCAGTCACTGACCAGTATTCTTCATTTTTATTTTATTTATTTATTTTTTTTTTTTGCGGAACTGGGAATTGAACTCAGGCCCTTACACTTGTCAGGCAAATGCTTATTCTACTGAGCTATCTCCCCGGCCCCTGTATTCTTTATTCTGATACCAATTGCTCTTAGACTAATCATTGAAATCTTATCAGGTCTTAGTCCTTTTATAATCTTTCAGACTACAGTAAAATACATTTTAAAAGCAGTAGTCTTGGGCCCGGGGAGATAACTCAGTAGAATAAGCGCTTGCCTGGCAAACATAAGGGCCTGAGTTCAATCCCCGATAGGTATCTCGCTCTCTATAAAATCATCAGCCTGCTTTGTTTTCAAAGATTTGCACCCCTTTGTGGTGGCACCTCCCCATAATCCCAGCACCTGGGAGGCTGAGGCAGGAAAATCATTTTGAGTTCAAGACCAGCCTGGGCTACCGAGTGAGCTCAAGGCCAGCCTGAACTGCATAGTGAGATCCTATTTCTCTGTCCCTCTTTTTAAAAAGCAAAAAAAAAAAAAAAAAAAAAGATTTGCTGCTGTCAGATTAGTTAAGTGTTGGGTCTTATTTGCTATTTGCAAAATAAATAGCTTGTATTTCTTTCCCACTCCTTATAACTCAGGGAATATTCAGGAGCAAAGAATTAGAGATCTGTAGCAGTAGCTCAAATAAGTGATTAACCCTTAACAAACTATACTTGTGGTCTTCAGTAAAACTTGTAGGGACTGCCTCCAAGTTTAATTTAGGTAGGTGTGCTGGGTGGAGGCACAGAAAGTCTCCAGAAAAGTAGCAGCAGTGCTTATTTTCGATGGGACCTCAAGTGCAACAGTTTTGTCAAACTTTAGATTGCTCCTTCCCACTTGAAAATCTTTTGGTAGTTGGTCTGCAGTAAGGGACATGGATATTTAAACAGATGTATACACAATGGTTTTCCCACAGACAGCTTTGTTAATATACCAAAGCAGATGTGCAGAGTGAGATAAGAGATAGGCAGATGGCTAGTAACACACCGCCCCCCCATCACAATGGCTGTGATTGGCAAGGGAAGATCTGTGAGGCTCACTGTTTTGCCCTGAAAGAACCATTTTCAGAGCGAATAGAGCTTGGGAGAACTCTGAAGAAGACCACTAGAACTATGAATCAACTACATGGTTTCAACTGTGGCTATGAGGAGGGTAGTGTGATGTATGGCAAGAAGGGATGGGGAAAAAAGTCCTAGAAGCATTGAGAAGTTCCCTGGCTGGAATAAATTTATGTCTTGATAAACTAATCTCTGCTTTCACATCACCTACTTCTTTGCAGAGGTTTTATGTGGAAGACAACTCTCTAGCCTTGTTCATTATGTTAAAATGTTTCCAATTTTCCTTCAGCTGTTAAAGAAGAAGTAAGGATGTCCCAAAGGGTGTAGGTCTAAAGCAAAATAAAGAACTTGGTCTTCAGGATGCACCAGGAGACCACATAAACAGTGGTTGAAGAACTTTGGCAGCAGAAACCGAATGGCTGTTCTGCTGGTTTCTGGCTACTTCATTGTTTTGTTTTGTTTTTTGAGACAGGGTCTTGCTTTGTAGTTTAGGCTCACCCTCAACTCTCTATGAAGTCCAGGCTGACCTGGAACTTTTTAAATTTTAGGGAAGGGTCTACCGGCTATTCAGGGTCTCACTACTAGATTAGACTTGTAGTGATCCACCTGTTTACAGCCTCCCAAGAGCTAGGATTATAGGCGTGCACCACCATGCCCAGTCTCAATTGCTGTTGCAGAGTGCTCTGGGGGTGGGGCTGGCACGGCAGGCCCAGGGATTGAACCCCCATCCTCTGTGCATGCTTGTAGACGCCTTAATCCTCTCAGCTATCTGGTCAGCTCTCTTTTTCCATTTCTGAGACAATCTTGCTGTGTTGCCCAGGATGGCTCCAAACTCCTGGGCTAAAGTGATCCTTCTGTCTCACCACCTCCAGCAGCCAGGACAACAGGTATTGGCTATACTTCTGACCTCTAGTTTTAAGAAAAGTTTGGAATAAAAATGTTTCAGTATTTAAGCTGTCAGAAACTCATTTCTCTCTAATGAAAAAGAGAGCCTGGTACAGTGGTAACATCTCTGTTGCTGGGACACTGAGGCAGAAGGATCAGAAGTTCATGCCCAGCTTGGGCAATTCAGTAACTTATCTAGACTGTCTAAAAAAAAAAAAAAAGAAAGAAAAGAAAAGAAAGAAAGAGAGAAAGAAAAGAAGAGAAAAGAGAAAAGAAAAGAAAAAAAAGACAAACCAAATAAGTAGGACCAAGGATTTAGCACCTCTACATTGCTAGAGGACCCCTGTGTTCAATCAAATAAACAACTTTAAAATAAGTAAAGCACAGATTCTTATGCTGTTCCTTCCTAGGACTGTTATAGATTCAAATGGATTAAAGGTAAGAATACTCTTTGGAAGCTGGAAGAAAACAAGGATTGCTATCTCAGCATGGTGGTGTATGCCCATAATCCTTGCACTCAGGAGGCTGAGGCAGAAAGATTTTATTTATAGGCCAGCCTGGCTACATAATGAGGTTATTGCAAAAAAAAGAAGAAGAAGATTGCTGATTCTTCCCTTTTAAAAAATTTATTTTGCTGTGGTAAGAACATTTAATATAAACTTTTCATTTTGTTTTTTTGAGACAGGGTCTCACTGTGTCATCTAGGTTGGCCTTGATCACTAGGTAGTCCAGACTAGTATTGAATTTGAGATCTTCCTCTGTGAGCCACCATACCCAGCTTCCCTATTATTTTTTTTTTCTGGTGCAAGGGATCAGATGTCAGGGTGTCATATATGCTAGACAAATCACTTACCATTGAACTCCACTCCAGCTCTATCCCCTTAACCAGTCTAGATCTGTACAGTTCATTTTCCTATTTCCTTTTTCCTAGATGAAAGATTTGAATAGTTGCTGAGGACCTTATGCCCAGCACTAAATTAAGTTCTTGGAAAAAGGAGATTTGAGAAATTAGACTTGCTTTTTACCCTTGAAGACTTCACATCATGGAAAAGACCCTGTAAAGACACGACACATTTAGAGAATAATCCTCTTTACAATGAATCATGGAAAGATAATGTAGACAGTAAGAACTGGACGCAGAATTGTACTTGGAT